TGTAGTTGTCCGAAGCACTTTTCGGTAACAAAGTTACCTTCTTCAGGGACTGAAGTAAACTAAACCTAAATGAGAACTAATCCTAATTTATACTGATAGTTGTTAAGGTTCAGTGAACATGACCCGAAGCCAACAAGGTAGATGTTCAATGGACCTTAACATCATCATCATAAACGTAATTAAACTAGACTAAATAGCGGAGATCCAGGGATAGGACCGTTGTCATTGTTAAGAACAATTTGTTTATTTTTATAAATGTATAAACTTTCAAAACTGTCTAGTAAACGATTATTCCTAACTTTTGTTTTGGCGTTGGGGTTTTGAGCTATTCTGTTTGTTCTACAACAACCGCCAAAGTTTTTCCAATCTTCATATTCAGGTTGTACTGCTTATTTTGGTTTCGTTGAAGATAAACTGATATCGAAACTAGGTACGATTGTTTTGCTAGCACGAGGCCTTCTTTAGGTAATTAAATACCAAAAAATTACTGGATATATTCCAGCATATCAGAAGGACATTGAAGGATATCATGAAAAAAACATGAGAGATATCATGAGGATATCAAGAAGCAGAAGGGATGTCAGAGAGAATCGCAGATATTACTGTAACTCAAATATAATTGTGAGAATAGAAGAAGAATTCTGAATGAAAATCAAAGAATTAGGAGAAATTCAAGGAAATTCCAAATATTGCTTTTAAAGAGAAATATACCTATTACTCCTCGTGAAATACGATATTCATTCTCTGATTAAACTTTCACGTTAGCTAAACAATTTTAAAGTATTAATTAAAATTCTTGAAACCATAAAACCATACTGTTTACGGTTTACATTAAAGAATGAAAACGAACTTTTCTTTTGTTGCTGGTAAGAGGAAGGGGGAGTCCTCTAAGAAAATGATGTTCTGAGTCACTGCGAAGGAGGAGGAAGTATGATTCCTGAGAAACGTGATTTGTTATTGTTAAAAATAAATAAATATTTTCATTAATGCCCACCATGGAAGAATAATCACCAGAAAAAAATCGTTGCCTGTTACAGTAAATACTGCGAAGATTACCTGGTAATGTATATTTAATATTAGAAAGAACCAAAATTTGGATGTAGGGGGTAATTCTCGAAACTACTCATTCGATTGCAAAAATTCTTCCAATATTTATAAAGGACCTTCAGGGTAGACATAGGTTGGATATTTTTTTTTAAAAGGTTTTCGTGAAGACCAATCGTTCGAAGTATGAAAACATATTGAACAAAAAATTTTCACACTTCACGTAAACTACAAGATAATTAATTTGAAAACAAAGTGAATATATTGCTGATATTAAAAAGACATATATCTTTCTTATGATAGAATACGTAAATTATTTCTACCTTCCGAACTTATTTTTTGGCTAAAAAAATATGATTCATGAAAAACAAATGTTTTAGAAAATACACGCGCTGTTAAGACAGCAGGTAAAAGTTGGTCTGTGTTCTGTCGGAGCTGCTTGCGACGCGCTGATGAGATCCATAAAGATCGAAAACGCGATCCGCGTCTGGCAGTTTCGACAGAATACAGACCACTTCGAATTATTTTAACATTGTTTTAGTTTTTGTGTTACTTACCGACAACTTGACTGGACACTTTACCATGTTTACTTTTAACATACAAATCGAGACCTGTTAGCATAAGGGCATGATCCCAATGTTGAGGTTCTCTATCGCCACCAGGATTTTTTGTTCTTTGCCAGTTACAAAAACTTGAGAGGAATCTATCAATATCTGGAGGTCTTGTCAAATTCACAGGTTCTTCTTTCAAAATCTCCAGCCTTTTTAAAATAAAATTTACAGCATGTCCTAAACTAGGATCATGATAAAGAAGTTGAACCTGTATGAACAATTTCAAAACTATACTATCAATAAGATTTAAATTTAATTAAATCACTGATTAGTTTGATTTTATTTCGACTTCTTCAAACATCTCGTAGCGGTAAGATTCAAACGTTTTGGATAAACCCTTTTTTGAAGATACAACGTAAAGTGTAATATGAAGCATTGTTTTCACTTTTGTACTTTGTTGAATTTTTAAAATTACTTCAAAAGCCCATTAGAAACTTTAATTAGCTATTTACAGATTTCCAAACAAAACTTATGATAAAATTAATTAAAATTTCACCAAAACGACGTTTTAATTATAAAATTAAAGGCATTTGTATACATGTTTTTAGCTGTTCAAATTGTGTTTAATTGGAAAGTTATTTGGGTTGCATACTTCATTTACTCCATCTATATACTTTAATTTCTCTTTTTAAAGGCACTTTTTTATAATAAGATAATAAGTATGATAACTGGATTAAGTAACCGAACGTACAAAGTAGACAGATCAAAAACTTCGAAAAGATTCGTTAAAAAAACGTGATTACATTAGCAATTGTATATTTGAATCCAATTGGGGTTTAAGAGTAGCAAATAAGGCACTATTCATCTGGACCGGACTCTTGGGGACTTGTAACTGGTCCCGTATTCCAGAAATGTATTTGTTGTAAAAACTTCAAAATACGCGATATTTGGGGATTTTATAATTTGTTTTTTTTTTTATTTAAAAGCTCTCCCAGAAACACGTAAGCCAGTTTAAATTTATATGATAAAAGCGCGGCAGAGTGTCGTAAAGTATAGCGTTTTCACGAATATGTGTNAATTGGTGCGTAAAGCCAAAGGTCCCGGGTTCTATTCCCGGCGAGGGTGTAACAACACCAACACAAAAAATTTCCCTCATTAACTTTAGGTAGTTAGTGGATAAAAATTCAAAAATTAATTTTTACATTAGTTTCATATTAATCACTATTAAAAATTAAAAATGTTTAAGTGTTTCATATGTTCTGAGGCTAATAAGGTATTTAGCCCTAAAGGACTAAATAAACACCTAAAACCTGTATTCCCAGATCGAGACTAAATCTAAACCTAATTATATTGTTTCGATCCTAAAGAAATCCTAAAATCTAAGAATTTTAACCAAAACCAATAAAAGCATGCAAAATTAAATTTTTTGAAGGGGTAATTAGGGGTGGTGTCAGTGGAGGGGTCGGTAAACCGCGGCTCGCGAGCTACATTTTCATTATTCGAAGTGGTTGGTTTTGAAAAGAAACTGCTTCCTTTGGCAAAAGATATGAAGATAGGCACATTATTACATTTCCAAACCTTAAGGAATCATCGGGATGGAAACAGTGCTTCTGTTGATCCTGATTATTGTTTCACAAGAACGATCAAAACGATGAAAGATGGTTTTGTTGAACGATTTGATTGGTTCAAAATTAATAATCTTCTCAAGGCAAAAAGAAAACAACTAAATTTTACTCTATTTAATATCAACGCTGGTTCATTTAAAATCCAATTACTAGATTTAAAAACAAGCAAGCAAATTTATCGTATTTTATTTAATTGCCACTTCTGTATCCCATACAAATTTGAAATAAAATGTAAAAGCCGAATTAGAAATTGAAGTTCATGAAATAATATTTTTATGTGGGATGTTCTAATTTTAAGGAAATACTAAGATTAGCTCAGTGTAGGAAACAGAAGGGCTGTGCGTCCAGCCAATCTTAGAATTGACGACCCTATGATGACGATGATGATGATAAAATGTGCGTGTCCCTGCCTAAAAAAAATTTACTTTCTTTTTTTGCCTAATTAAATTAACTAACCCATGTAAACAATATGTAGAATAGATACAAAGAAAATTATAATGTTTGAAAGAAAAGAAAGGCCTAATTGTGTTCTAAGCAATTGGTTTTGTTAACTTTTTGGAAATGATTTCTAAAGCTAACGTTTGCTTTAACGATGCATGACCAAAAGCCTTGATCAAGAAGATATTTGGCATTAAACATTAGATACAAGGTTCAGTAACATTTCAAGCGGAAGCATTTCTCCAAAGACAAATCCGTAATTCCGGCTGTCCGAGACAGTTGTGTGAAGGAAGCAGCCTGGAAACTTTCAGCAGGTCACGAGGTCGCTCGCTTCTAACGAATAATAAGTGGAATATTATCTCGAATTAAACCTTTCGTGCTTTGTTACAAGACCATTTCTCCATTGTCTAACGAACCAAAGAGATACCGGTAAAATTATTATAACAATTTTCACCTCGGTTGAGGTACTAAAGAACATAGGAAGTTTATTACTGCATTATAAGTTGCTTGCGAAACCCACATTTGGACAACGGGTACAGCACTTATTATTTTGACAACATCATCATCATAAGGTCGTCAGTCCTAAGACTGGTTGGACACGCACCTCTATTCTTTCCTATCCTGAGCTAATCTTCGCATTTCCCTAAAACTAGAACAACCCATATTAAATTAACTATTTCTAATGTAGGATTACCTCTACCCCTCCTAACTTATCTACGTTCTAGTCCCATCTCTATAATTGCCTATTACTCTTTATACAAACTAAGTATCATTCTTCTATTTTTGTAACTCATCCCTACATTTTTAAGTATATTTAACATCTTGTCCCACTAAAGTTTGTACAAGAGTTTCGTCAAGGTTCAAGTCCTGTCGGATCAGTTTTTTTTACATTACTTTACATAACATGTCATTAGAAAGTATACATATAAAACCAACTATACACTCGAATGTAGGCATTTAAACCCGTCCATTTCTTTGCATTTGTTTATTTCCATCCCGAATGTTACGTCAAAATTAGCCTATTTTTAAATAATTAAAATTATAGTTAAATAATTAGACATTTTGATAGCCAGCTAGTTCTAAAATATTTCGATTTCCATATAATTTGACTACCATTTTCACAGCAACATCTCTTCAAATAGTTCAATAATAATAATGAAATTTTACAAAACCTAATAATGTTTTAGATTGATCGCTTTTTCGAAATTTCACGCATCATTTCCCTAATACAATAGAACATGATTACCATGGCTTCATACAAAGTTTAGTAATTTATAAGTAGTAATCAATTATTAGTTTGCAAGGTATTGAAAGGCTATAAAATCGCTACGTATCGTTATAATAGATTTCTTGCACTTTGTCAAGTAATAGATATTTCACTAGAGTGACTTTGTATATATCAGCAAAATGATACAGTAAAACTATCGCATCATGACGAAACTTTGAGAAATCTGTTCCCGTAATGAATATCTTAAAAAAAAGTGTCTTTTTTAATACAAATAATTTACTATATATATGTTTTGGCGTTGGGGTTTTGAGCTATTCTGTTTGTTTTAATTAATAATATAAACCAATTGCTTCTGTGAAAAATCAAAGTACGAATACGATCTGATCATCTTGCTTTTGTATTGAATAATTTTAGTTCTAACGATAATCCTTTTCGTTCATATTAAGTTTTATAAATTTTAAATTGAATTTGAATTTTTTATCCGCGAACTAAATGGGGTCAATTACCCCATTTGCCCTTATCGGGTTACCTACCATTTGTCCGTCACACATGCTAAGAGCAGCAGTTTTACTCCTGTACAAGCAATTCCTTATTTCATGATGATTAATTGGTAATATGTTAGATTTGTTTTGAAACGTTTCCAACACCAAAAACTCTGGAGAAAGAATAGTAGTTACGGGGACCAAATCCAGGGAAAAATTAACATTGATACTGGGAGATTTTAGCAGTACCCGTTTCGATGAAGACTCGTCTTCTTCTTCAAATGTCGCAGAACGACGAACTTTACGTTTTAAAATTTCAGGAAATACAATTGAGTACGAAGGATCTAAAAATATATTAACGACAAAGTTTTATAAAAAATGCACTAAAATGTGTATGGAGCATATCTAGGTGGTAGGTGTATAGAAAAGATGAAAGAAATTGTGTATGTTGACATAACAATGGCAAATGTTTTCTCTATTCGTAACGGTTTTGCTCTATTGGTTTAAAAAATTATTAGGTTGTAAATAAAAATTAGTCAGTCATTGTCATTAAGATTTTCCGGTGCAACGACTGGCCGACCTATATTTCACACTGTTGTATGATGACTCTTCCTTAAATTCATTTAAAGAAGAACAGGCATGTAACTATAGGAAGTAGTAGAAACAATAAATACACAATATATTCTTACTTCTTGCGCGAGGCATTACCTAAACTTCATTCGCAATATTAATGTGAAAATTCGTTTTCGAATTTTTATCCAGTACAAAGTTAATGAGGGAAAAGAATTGGTGCGTAAAGCCAAAGGTCCCGGGTTCTATTCCCGGCGAGGGTGTAACAACACCAACACAAAAAATTTCCCTCATTAACTTTAGGTAGTTAGTGGATAAAAATTCAAAAATTAATTTTTACATTAGTTTCATATTAATCACTATTAANTCTACACTAAAATAAAATATGGATTAGATTTAGAATCTTAAGGGATCTTTGTAATTTTAATTGCAAGTGCATTATTTTATATCTACACTTGCCGACAAGCATTACGACATTTGATAAATTGATTTTTCACGCAATGAAATGGAAAACTACAGACCTCTTGCTATCCTCTTTTTATGTATGAACGTTTTTAACCTTTATCGCTACAACTTGCGCCGTGTAATCACAATTAATACTCATCTAAAAAATAAAAAAACAAAAACAGATCTAATTGAACGTTGACATAAAAACGAAACAAACAATATTTAAATGGTTGAATCAAATCGTTGTATGGTCAGCGACCAGTTTTTAGAGTGTGACTAGATACTCCATTTTTTTTGTTCTTTCATATGTGATGTATTTTATAAACCGCTATGATTCCGCTAATTAATTTTAATTATTACGCAGTAGGAGGCAATCCTGCCTGGAAACGTATTTTGGATATTACATTACCAAAATGTGCTTTCAATTATGTAACTAGTTATAGTAATTACGTTATATTTTTGATTAATTCATTTAAATATTAATGCACAACTAACAATGAATTTAAATTTCTGTTAAGAAAATGGAAATTTATGTTTTTTTTAAGAACGAAACTATACTTTTCAATTTATTGCATTTGTTTGGGCACACCACTGAAGATGTCGATTATGTCCATTTTTGTGAAATTTGAAAGCCCCAAGGAAAAGAACAAGCCGAAGCCAGGAATTTCAAAGAGGAAAGCGGGAAAAAAATTACTACTACAGTGATGATTCAAACAAACGGAACCAACAATTTACAGTACAAAGCAGAAGTACAATGACCTACAAGATTTTGATGTTTTTTGATGATGAAGATTGTTCGTCAAGCATTGAATGATGTTCCTGTTTCTTCTTCACATTTACAAATAACCTCAGTTTCATCTCAATGTTCATAACAAGAAAAAAGAATTGGAACTTGTAGTCCTTGCAAAAGCGAATTACATATCTTTAATTGTAATTGAATCGCCAACATCAATTTTATCTGAATGTCCACAAGAAGTTGGGACTTCCGATTGCAAAAACGAAGCACATCGACATAAATCATGTAATTAAGAAAACTTAACAACGGATTTCAAAATATATCGATTCTCAAGCTAGGAATTTCATGTACGTATTTATGATCGCGAATAGTATCAAATGAAAAGTACATGTGTCTCTATGCGTATGTGCACAAAACTCAAAAATATCGGGAAATGTATGTCGTGATATTGTCAACATGAATAAAAATTATTTCTTGTAAGACCACTGAGTGAGTTTTTTTGTCCTATGTGTACTTGGTATTACCTTTCTCTTTCTTAGCTATTTTCATGACGATGATGATGATGATGGGTGATTTTACATCAGTTTTATAATTCAAAAACCGTTTCTACATTAAATCACTTTAAATAGACGCTTGTCAAGGAAGTGAATAATTTTAGGACTTAACCTTCTGATTAAGTAGCTTCGGAATAATATAACAAGAGATCTATAAAAGCGATAACAGAACGTCTGTAGTACATTTTGAAAACTGCTTTAATTTAAAATACGGAAATGATTGTACGGGTTGCTGTTTGAGATACAAATACAGTTATACAAATGGATGTATGCATGGGAATGATTACTATGTTTATAATTGCAGAACGGATACAATAACTAGTTTAACAGAGCTGTCGACATTAAAATTGTCTGTCTAGTATCATCTTAATTGTGTTGGACGTACGAAAAAATGAACGAATTAGTACCTTCATACTTCATACAACTCGATTCAACTAATTATGCTTATAATTGCAATAAAGAAAAGTGAGCTTGCTTATCTGAAACAACAGGATTTAGTGAACATTTTATGACTCTAAGTCTAAAGAATTTCGATTTAAGAAAGTTCAAAGTTTTTTTAACAAGCGACTACAGATACTTTTTTGACTTTTAGAGAAAAAATGCTAATACAAACGGAGCTGGTTTTGAATGTATCCGGATAGCGTCAGTATACCGGATACAAAATGTGGTTGATTTTAGTTTTAGACATGTACACCATCAATGACACCATCTACTATAGAGCAGGGTTCTTCAACTTTGTCATTCTGAGGAATCCTTTTTTGAAATATTTTTTTTTGTTGATAAAAGGTGGTAAAACGAAAATACTGGTATGCAAGGGAAGAAATAGTAGCGAAAGAGTAAATATAAAGATAGGAGACGAAAAGTTAGAAGAAGTGGCTGATTTTAGGTATCTAGGAAGTCAGATAAGTCAGGACGGAAGAAGTAATAGGGATATAAAGCAGAAGATAGCGCAGGGTCGAGTCGCCTTCAATAAAAAGAAGTCACTTCTATGCTTGCGAACGATTAATTTAGAAATTAGAAAAAGACTGTTAAAGATGTGTTTGGATGTGGTGCTGTACGGGTGCGAAACATGGAGCGCAGCGGAAAAGAAAAGGTTAGAAGCGTTCGACATGGGTTTTACAGGTGAATGATGAAGGTACCGTGGATAGAGAAGGTTAGAAATCAAGAGGTATTAGAAAGAATAAGAGAACAGAGAACTCTATGGAAGTCAATAAGAAATCGACGAGATAGGTTGTTAGGACACCTTCTCAGGCATGAAGGTCTAGTCAGAGACAAATTAAAGGCAGAAACGGGAGTTAGGAGGGGTAGAGGTAGTTAGTAGTTGAATTACTGTTCGCGAAAAGTTAAGGATATGGGTTGTTCTAGTTTTAAGGAAATGCTAAGATTAGGTCAGGATAGAAAAGAGTGGAGGGTCGTGTGAAACCAGTCTTTGGACTGACGACCTTATAATGATGACGAAAAGGTGGTTAAAACTCTAAGTTAGAAACTGAATTCCAAGTGGACGAAGTCGCGGGCATGACTAGTAAAATATAATTGTGCATTTATTCAAACAAAATGATAAATATATACGGATTGTAGTATTGACTTATAGAGCCCCTAACCGTTCGAGTGGAACCCCAGGGTTCCACGAAGCACACATCATTGACTGAGAACACTGTATCAGATACGTTAAACCTAAATCACAACAAACTTCCGGCATATCCGGATAGTATTAACAGATTCGTTTTTCTTAAAGGATTCGGATACAATCATTGGATACATAAATAGGATCCAAATGTAATATCCCAATAATTTGCTGCTTGATTACTTAAAACATACAAAAAAGAAATTGAACATAAGCAGTAAATGTAATTTACATCATCAAATATTTTTCTTTTTATAGCTCCAGAAAGCGTTTTACTTTGCTGTGTTTAGGTAGTAATTATGTTTGTATATGCATATAAGTTTTCTTTTTAATATTTTTTTTATCGATAGCGTACTTTAGTATGCAAGAGTTTTGATCTATTTTATATCTCCTTATTATTACATAATGTCACACCCATTGTCGAAATCCAAAAAAGTTGTAGACGCGTGCACGATGTAGTAAACATGAATTTCAAATAGATATACGCTTATAAAAAGTTTAGTTTCTTTTTTGTAAATAAAGGTTTTGTGTCGATTGCTACTCGATTGTTATTTGCGTAATACATGTATATGTGTTTATCTGACAAGATTAGAGGAAAATGGTTACTTACCAGCCCCGTTACTTTGAGAATTCGAAACCTTGCCACCCATCATTGACTTTAACACTTCTTGATCGATCTGCAAGAAACATAGTGGAAAGATTATTTTTTTCTTATTTAACTATTGGCGTATTATGCAATAAATATCGTGGAACAAATGAAAAAGAAAAACGTTTTTGGTTTAATTGTAAGCCTTACAATAAGTCGTTATCATCTTATTTATTCCTAAGTGTATTCAAAAAGTTTTAAAGTTGATAACATTAAATGCTTCATTTTTATCAGTTAAATAATTAAAACAATCCAAAAGGTTAAGAAGATTAGTTGTGAATGGTGAAAATTCGTGAAAATTCATTAACAGTCTTCAGTCCCGGTTGGACTCGCACCTCCACATCTTTCTATCTTAAGCCAATGTTCACATTTACTAATGTGCTTCAAGTCTACTTCTGCCACTTTTAACTGCTGTTTCTGCTTCCAATTTCTCTCTAAGTAGCCCTTCATACCAACTTATCAATAAGTTTTCTAATCTTACTTCGAATTTTCGAATTAGCCTAACATGAACATAAAAATGATTTCTTTCTGTTATAATTATTACCCGTCACGGCCGGATATCCAGAATCATTATCCGGCAATCGGCTGGATCCTGAAAAAGGTGCCATATCCGCCGATACTTACAGGTTGCTTGGCCAATTTCTAATATGTAGCGCTTTTTATATCCTCAGTTTTCTGATTTCCAAAATATCGAAAATAGGTAATTTGGGTGAAAATTGTAATTTAAAAATTAGAATAAAGAAACAGAAGACTACGAAGAACACAAAGCCTGTTGATGCAAAATAAAGAATAAAACTAACAACGTGATGCCAGTACCATGATTTTTACTATAGTTGGAACGTTTAAAATTGGCATAGACCGCAATAAAACTGTCGCATTTACTTTCTTCTTTCAACTTAATAACTTGACTAGAGCGCTTGCTGTCAGAAGGCCTACTTCTACTCACAATAAACGTTGTAGGGAAAATCGTAGGCATAGAAAAGAGATGTCAGGTAGGAATTGCTGCGGACACTAATAATTGATGTGTAACAGAAAGAGATGCAGACAAGCAGAATTTGAGCATGTTCCTAGCATCGGACTTCAAAGAAAGTTCAACATGGAATTTAGGAAAGCAAAAACGTTTGTTTAAAGATATCATTCCTAAGCCGACCCTGATCTTGTGCGTACCTAAACAACCTCTGCACCGCTTACTATTATTCGATTATCTCTTTTCAGTTTGTCTATATTACCTATCTTACTCATGAAGCATTTCCTAACTTAACAAAAGCGTGTTCGAAACGCAGCAAAAGACTACAGCCCAGGTGGAGAGGAGAAAGAAGATATGCCCATTTTCACAGATAATTTATTGCGTTCCATGCCAATTATGATTATCCCAACTATAGTTTCCCCTCTAAAACCTTCTTCTATTCAATTCGCTTTGATAGTATTTAAAATACGTAATGTCTGAGGAAGAACGATTAGATAAAAACTAGGAAAAGATTACTTTAAGAGTATTCAAAATATATATTTAGTGAAACATTTTCTTATGGTGACATATTTTGCTTATGATATTGCTAATTTGTGTTCATGTTGCTTTTGGAGTGCCTTACAAGTATTAGTTTTTTTAATATAAATGTTCAATCAGAATCTAAAAAATGATAAAACGTCTATCGCTTATTTATGTCTAATATCGTTTTCGTATCATTATATAAAATACGTTTTACTATTTCTGTATTGCATACGAAAACAAAAATTGGAATCATTATATGAAATTAAAACGTCTTTCAACATTTGAACCATATTCTCCCAAAACATCCGTAATAACCAAACAATATTGACTCTATTTCAAACAAAATACTTTCAAAATATTACCCGTTGTGACTCAAAATGAGGTCTAATCTAAGAACTGGCTGAAAATAATTTTAAATACATATGTAAGTTTCATATTTGCCAGACATTAATTTACTTTGTCTTAATTAAGCATAGTGTTACACTTCATTATTCTGATTACCTACCGTCGAAGTGAAAAGAAAGTTGTTAATCGTAAACGAAATAAAAATGCAATTATACACTACCATATTTATGGAACAATAACACAGTGCAATGAACAATACACTTTCTACGTTTGCTTTATAATTAGGATGAGTGGTAAAAGTGAATGTGTAGATGACACGCATGGATTAATTAATTTGCACCTACACACTTTGTTAAAAATGTTCATAGAGTGTAATTGCAAATTAATTATTGTAATGAAGAATTATGTATAATGTTTTTAACCAACAGTGTTTTATGTGGTAGGTAATGGTCTCGATTTGTATACCTACCTCTAATTATGGTGAAATTTTAATATACATACAATAACTTTTAATTTTTAAACTTTAGTTTGCTGTGTGAATAAGAATACATATATGCAAAAATATATCTACATATTTTTTTGCATAGTTTTCGAGTTTCAAACAGTGAAAATCAGAACTAATCGAACCTAATCTACCTTAACTCACTTCGTCTGTGTTGCCTTCTCTTACCGTAACCTTTAAAGTCTAGTCTACTTATGAGCAAGGCAACACCAAGAGACCAAGACTATATTGATCTTATTCATGCTTATTCGGTAATGGTCTTGCGTATTAAGTCTTGGTCGTGCTCATTTAGTCTGATACTTTTTTTTAATAGTTCTGAGCACAATTTTTTTTTATTTACCAACACAATAATTGTTTTAAATGCTGAAATTTTCTGTCATACATGCGAGCTTGCCATGACTTTTACAGAAAATACTGTCGATAGTTGTATTAAGACTTATAAAGACTTAAGAACTTACCCTTCCTGCGGTGAATCAAACGTATAAATTTACCTTTTAGCGAAAAAAATAGTGCAAAATAGTTGAAAAAGAAAACATCGAAAAGAAAATCAGTTTCGTTAGTTCAATCGAGGCCTTGCAGATGAAAGAAAACATAGAACTGTGCATGTATTGGTCAATTATTTTTTTACAAATTTCAGATATTAGGTAGGTATAGAATTAATACTTATTTTGTTGTTAAGCGAAAGTTTACACTTTTCAATAAGTTATTGTATGAAATTATCTTTATAATCTAAAAGGACGGTAGTAGAAGTGCTTCATTAAAGTACTTATTGTATATAAGTAATTTTATTTTTTATAGTAATCATAAGTTAAAATTAAAAAACAAATATGTAACTGTTTTGTAGAAATTGTTTCCTACAACTATTTGTCTAACTGTAATTGTAAAATTACACACATGTAAACGAATATATTTTATATCGCGTGTCTAATAATACCAGAATGATGAACTTAAAGTAGATAAGTAAAAGATGGCATAACAGTACCAACAATCATCACATTAATCCAGCCATTGTTCAGAATTGCAACAAAGACAATTATTATTTTGCTAGAAAAGTTGAAGCTAACGACACTGACATAATTTTTTCGTGAATGTGTGAATAATGCAATTAATGTAATTAATAATAAAAGTATTTGTACACCTTTATTACCTATGAAGGGCAGTGACATTTTCATCACTAAAACTATTTTGAATAGCATTTATAAATCATAAGCATTGGTGGGGACTTTTTTCAAAAATTAATTAAATGTTTTTTTGATTAGTTAGCATTTCAAAGAAAAAACTATTACCAAGAAGTATAGTATCTATAAAATCTATAGACAGGCACACGAGTGATCCAATAAGGGTATCCTAACCCGAGAACCAACTTAACATTATAGTTAATAAAAAAAAAACGACATGTTCTCCCATACATTCAAAATGTAAATGTAAATTTGTACGTACAATATAGTTTTGTTAAAAGATTTACCACGTTATGTTCAAACTAAAGACTTCTAATCAATTTTCTTGTAATATACAAGTAAAGAACGATTATCTGTATTGTTTTCAAAATTTTGGGTTCAGTAGTTTCGCAGATAAGGGAGGGTATGATCGATTTTCATCTATTTTCTTAAGTAACTTCAAAAATATTTATTTTAAAATTATAAAAAAATATATTTGAGACTTTTACGATATGCCCTTTCATTTGATATGTCACACGGTACAGTTTGCAAAACTTTTTTTTTTTAATTTCCTATTGGCCCCCTGAAAAATGACTCCCATGTTCGAAATTTATTTATTTACGTTATGCGCTCGTGTTTGGGTCACAAAAATTCATATGTGTACTTCAAGTCAATCAGTCCAGTAGATTCGGAGAAGATTGACCGTAACGAACGGACAGACAGACACACAAGTGATCCTATAAGGGTTCCGTTTTTCATTCGGACGTACGGAACCCTAAATAAACACTCGTATTGTAAAAAAGTATCGAATTATGAACCATCATCATCATCAATTAATAAAATATCAGTAATTTTATTATTTTCTGGTATTAAAAAAATTGTAGTTGAATACCATTGAGGTAAATTAAAAAAAGTACAAACCGTGTGAAAAAGGCCAGGCCAGCGGTCCCTAATTATATCAATCTTGTTAGTCTAACACCCCTTTTTGATTCACCCTTTTTTGACGGAACTCTATCTCGACAAAATGTAAACTAATAATTGCATTGCTTTATGTGTAAGACCTCTGACACATAATCGTGTGCATGTTGTAATCTTCAACTTGAATTTTGAATTCAAAATATAAATTACACGTATTTAATGTGCGTATTTGTACTTATAGTAGCATTAAAGTCTTGTTCTGAATTTATTTTTAGTGTAGAGGTGGACCTAGATTAGATTACTGTTCGCAAATAGTTAAGGATGTGGGTTGTTGTGGTTTTAGGGAAATGCTAAGATTAGCTCAAAATAGGCAGGAGTGGAGGTGCGTGTCCAGTCTTAGGACTGACGACCTCATGATGATGATGACGATGTATGGGTAAACTGTAATCAGTAAATCGATACAGATCGATACAAACCGAAACATCACCTCAACGACTGCAGGATATTATTCTTAAATGCGATCCAAAAGTTATTCAAATTTCAATCAACTAATACGTAATATCAATCATGTTCTTATCCCTTGACACAGTTAATATTGATGGTTTATCCTTATTTAGGAATAGATTCTCTACTCAGTTACTGACTTGTAACTTCTTTGGAAAAAAATATTCTTTCAAGGATTTTTTGAGGTTCAGTAGACGCTTTTTTATGGTTTTACCACCATTTGAGGTTGCTTGTAATTCATTTTCTTTGGGAAATCTTTTTAGAAGAGAAAATCACACGAGATTACCTCCAAATTCGGAACCCAGGAACTAGACACTAGGAAGGATAATAAATGAAGACATAAGAACTCAAAGAAGAGAAGAAAAATGTAGAATCAAGATACAGAAAAAATATAACAAAAAAGAACAGAACAAACCACAAAAACGGTTAATGGAACAAACGATAAACACTATACAGAAAAGATTACTTGAAAAAGTACTGCAAACAATGATGAACAACACATTCGATACTTCAGCTTAAGAAAATGGACAGAATCGATTAATAATAGAACGATACAGCAATATGGGTAAAAAGGATATTAAAAATAATTTGACAAGGTAACAGCAGATTACAAAAATAAAAGGTAAAAAAATGAAAGATAATCATACAAGAGAAAAGCATTGGGAAAAAGGCTGCAAAAACGAAGAAACAGAGCTCGTACCTTGGAAATCGTAATTACCTAAGCAAGAACACAAACATGTAGCATGTTTCATTAAACTCGTGTATGTAAGTGTATTCAAATAAAGTGTGTTATATTTTTGAAAATCTACATTTTGTGTTTTCATTTATGGGTTTTTATCAAGTTAATATTGAAACTGTCCAATCACATAAGCCAAAGCTCTCATTCACTCAATAACACTATACGTCTATACTCTACAATTAATTTTAATTCCATAAGTTAATGTTAAATTCAAACTTGTAACAACTCTATATCCTAGAATTCATTTTAAGAGAAAAGAAACAAGCAAATGTTCTAGAGGCTTAATCTTTTCTGTGGTCCTTTTTTCATTTAATCTGACTGACGCCCCCGGAAAGAAAAACAGTGACTGAAGAAATAGTAAGAATGAAATGACTACGAAAAACAAGAAAAATTGGGTAAAAGTTAAACAAATAAATAAAGAAGTACGACGTAATTTTTAAACTATTTTTAAGATTATACTGTTTTCGATAAATCTTTGATAGTTATTTATGTTTAAATTACAAATTAGAAAATTGATTAAAATGGTCTTACGATTTAAAATATGATGCAAAATACTTACGAATTTATTATTAGTGAAATAATAATTAGTGTTAATAAGGAAAATCCAAACTCACCTGAAAATTGCAACCATACTGAAACATTAGGGTAAAAATTATTAAAACCCCATTTATTACACTCCCCATACTTGAAATATACAAATAAACTGCTACACACACAAAAAATGTCTTACTCATACATTTCGGAACGTTGTTACAAATAAAGTCTTTAAAAAGTTTTAGTTCAAAAACAATAATGACATTTCTTGCGGCGTTTGAAACGAACTTCAAACATTATGCTTTTCGTACATTCATGTAGTACATCCAACATTTGAAGTGCTTCGCGAGTCACTAATTCGTGCAATGTGCAAAGCAGGAGAACGTGCCAGCATGAAAACTTTGCCATGGTGCTTAGCGGACCATTAAGGTACAGATTTGCGCTTTTTTAACATTTCACCTTACACTGCAGGATACCGCCTGTGCCCAGTTATATCTGATCACATATCCAACATAACTGCATCGAAATTGAGTTCGCTTTTTTCTTCAAAAATTATGTATTATATAAGCTAATAATTATATAAGTAGTTGTTGGACATTTTGCCAGATTTCCACATTAAACTTTGGTTTATAAACCATTAGAAAAAATATGTAATTAATCAGTGATGTAACATGGGGAATAACAAGAAGGTGCCAAAACCCCGAGCGGCAAAATGGCAAAAATGTTTGTGTTAGATGTACCAATTTCCTAGTATTTATATCAGTTTTCAATAGTTTGTACTTAGTATGTAAAAACGCCAATATTTAAAACGTTAGTAACCACTTGTATCTTTTTATATGTTTCAATCATGCAGAGACCAGGGTAATTAGACCGAATGTCCTTTCTTAGGATTCGAACTTCAACTTTTGCTACTTTCACGTTATACCGAAATGGGATTTCTCAGAAATTTGAATAAAAGCCAAATATGGCCCACAATACGGAAGGTGTTACTAGCTGGACACATTTCATATCTGCCTGGATGTTGTCATAAAACATCAATGCGATGCTTTTTTAAATAGGTCTTACATTGAAATTATCTTTTAAAATGGTTATTTTCAGGGTAGGTCGTAAACGTGGGCAAACATGCATCCACGAAGTATTCGAGTTTCTCGATGTAAATCCAAAAATATAAATTCAGTGATACTCATGTTTCATGTACTGTGTGGGTAATTATAAAATGACGTAAAAATGAGGGGAAATCTTGAAAACAAACCCACCCGTTCGTACGACTGGGTAGTGTCGGATTCTCTAGAAGGGTGTCCTCGGACCTACCAACTAAAACTCCTGTACCTCAGGCCGCTATAGGACCTATCTAGGGTTGACACCCGTACTTTATTATAAAGTATTGTACTCTATTTCGACTGTGCGTACGTACGCACATAAAGTACGCAAAAATACTTAAGTAAACATCGTAATTTTGTAAGCGATTGTTCGAAATTCAGAGTACTTTTACATCAATAATATTGCACAGAAAAATGGCAAGCCATATTTACGGAACAACCTGATTTCCCAAATCTGTACAAAGTAGTGTCACTTTTGCTATCTGTTCCGGCCACTTCAGCATTTACAGAAACAGTATTCTCTGTTATGAACGCAAAGTGGCGGGACGACAGGAATAAAGCTTCATTAAAACTAATTAAAAATGAACTTTTAGTTTACTTAGATCTTTGTTTGCCATGTTTAGAGGCTATTAATGTATCTAAGAGCGACAGCAATGTGTTACTGGCTGCTAGGTGTAACAAAAAATATGTTTTTAAAAACAAAAAATAAAATACTTTATTTTTATGCCGAGTACTTTTTTTTTAACCTTTTAGTAGAGATATACTTTATGTAAGGCCTGAAAAAGTGGCAACCCTAGACCTATCGCTGTGTAATCAAAGCCAAGAGGGGGGTTTGAAGTTATTTACTCATTCAAAACCAATAACCACCGTTTCACCCATGTTGTCAGACTTTCTCAAGGCACTTCTTCTTTAACGTAAAAAACTAGGCGAAACGTTGGCGGTTGTTTTAAATAAACAAATAACTTTAAATCCCTTCCCCCCATTTTTCGGCTTTGCTTTTGCACCGGGTACCATTATTGATATTATACAAGACTGTTTTAAAGATAAGCCATTCCTAGTTTATTTATAAAAATTAGGTAACAACAGATAATACTGATATCAACATTTCTCAGTAAAAATGAAAACCAAAACAGCAATAAATAATAATGATTTAACAAAAATCTCCATTTATGTTTTTCTTAATTTGTATAAGTAATCGTTTCTTAAAAATCATCCAATGTCTATCAAAATAAATCACCAGAAATTCATTAGATTTCGTTATCTTCTATCCAATAATGTCATCTTTGTATCCTTTGCCGGTACCACGTCCTGTACCCGTGGCCATACAGATTTAAATTAATTTCTAATCGTAAGGTATGGTACAATACATTGACATTAAGAATCAAACTTTTATTGATTCGATTTAGGCATCATTAACGATTTGCTATGTAGGTTCGCATGACGTTCTTGGCCCGAATCGATAGAGTCAAGGTAGCTTCTAACAATGGAATGAACTTTTTTGGGAAAGAGAAAATAAAATTACTATTATTATGTCAATGTAAATTACTTTCGTCTTTTTCTTAGAATAATTATGTTATTATTATTACTATCATTGGTTTTAGATAAAGCTTATATTTGCATATAACTGGCGGGCATTACGGATTTAACAATAACATCGTAAAGGTGAACATTACGATTTCTAAATTATTTACTTAATTGTATACCTATGTCAATTTACGCAAGTCAATTACGGTATGAGTATATATATGAGACCAACATCGTCTTGCTATGAAAGTAACGACAATTATTAGTAGACATAATTAGTCTCTGTACATATGTATGAACTATGTAGGTATATGCATTTATACTTAAAAATAAAATAAAAATGTTTGGGTGTTGTATGGATTTTTGTTTGTTTAGTTTTCTTCGAGGAGGGGAAAATCTTCAAAAGACACCCCCTCCTCGAGTAGGGAGATCAACTTGGGGGTTATACATCCCGGTGAAGGTTTGTGGAAAGAGGATTGAGAGTGGGAGAGGAATGAATTACGGGATAAAGTGCTGGAATGAAAATCGGTGGCCCACATCGAATGAGTTGAGTGGACACTCGCGTTAAAGAGCGAAATTGTTGTATGGAAATTACAGCCTTTTTTTATACTAGCAAGCCGTGGGGGATTATAGGGTACCCCCCCCTTTCAAGATTAGGATTTTTTAGATAAACCTGTCACATTCATTTAACTTCTTAAAGTAATTAAAAATCACCTATTACAGATTTTTATGTTATTATTTTACTTCAACATTTTAGGTTATCAATCTTTTTTTGTATTTTCCGTACCTCAAAATCACTACGGTGTTTCCCCGAATAGAAGGCTCGATATCATATTACTTTTACACTCGAAATGTGTACTACAGGGTTTATTTTCGGGCTAGGTTAAGCAAGAAGATATGCTAACGAGACCTGTAACCCTTCGAGCACCGTCATAAAACACTAGGGCGATGCAGTTTTCATCGGGTCCTATTTTCAGGATAACTCATATTAAACCCATCCTTTAAAATCATGATGGAGCTTATTTTCGGAGTAAGTCAAACTTTCAGGGAACAGTAGTATATTGTAGTCCGAGAAGAAAGCAGAATTCGAACGGTTATTGCAATTGGCATGTTTTGTATTATACAGGACTTGATGAACGAAATAAAAGTGCTTCTTATTGTGTAATTCAGAAAGGGCTTCAAGCTCTATCAAAGTGTTTGAAATGCTTTCAAATTGCTTAGAAATGGATAGCCCTTAGATCTGAAAATGCATGTGGAGCGTCAAGCACTTTAAGTAAATGCTTTGGGCTAATATCACTGAAATGCTGTTTAGAGTTTTTCTAGGTAACGTATTACTTAACCCTATCTAAAAATGAGCTAAATAAAACTATGTTAAAAAATTACCTACAATATTTACATGACGAACTTCCCCCTTATGCATTTCTTTATCTTAATCTGTAACTGTAAGTGATTTAGCTAATCACTTTGAAATACACGATAAAGTTGAATATCTCATCACAACAAAAATAGGTTTTCGTGTTATCAGAGATCGGTACTTTTGTCATTTTTTTATCGACACATAATCATCCTTATTTTCTAAAATTACATGTACAATTATATATATTACATATCTGGACGCTTATGAATGATTTTTCGAATGCCTAGTTGCCTAGTACACCTGCAATTCTAGAATCCTTCCCTATTCTGAGGACCTATCAATTGGTGCCAAGAATTTATTGAAAATTAAATTGTACTTATCACTTTATAAATGAGATAAGATTAACCGATTGTTGGTAGCGGTAGTGGTACTAAGATTAGCAATTACTACATTCCGTTAATTGGTTAAAGTATTGACTGTGGTTATTATCGTGTATTTATTAACTACATACAAGTATTATAATTTAACCGTTGTTATGCCGTGTTCGCGTAAACCATCAAAACCTGACGAAGAGAACTCTTATGAAATAGACAGATATCTTTTGTCGGAAAGAAAGGTATGGCAAGAAGCCGTAAAACTACTTCTTCTGGGAACTGGAGAATCAGGAAAAACTACCATCATAAAGCAAATGAAGATCATACATATAAATGGATTCTCAGATAAGTAAGTATTATTGTAAGTACTTCTTTACCTCAAGCCCTTTTATTTGCAAATTATAAAACACTTTCATAAAGTAATTAGGTTGTAAGTCCGAACTCGACGATAATACTAAAAATACAGATTCAAAAGGGGTTAAGGCAGACAACATAATTTCAAAAAATTTCTTATTTAATTATTGTTAAGGAGATTATATCTTTCTAATATGTTAAGTGCATATAAGCAAGCACACGATCAATTTAAAGCAAGGATGTTGTTATTGAAGTATGAACACCACGATGTTATTTTGTTTTTGCGCAACGTTTCGTTGGACTTAACGTCATCAACCTCATCAGGCTCAGTCTTTATTATCCAAACAATCGACACAGATCAGTCTAAAAACGTTTACTAAATATTCAAATATGATTTAAAGAGTTGCAGGACCGATCAAAGTTTCGGGTTTCGGGAATATTAAATTACCTATCACTTTTCCATTTGATATAGCGAAGCAAATGGAGATTCGCCCTGGTTTTCCTGAAATTCCAAAGAAAAAAAGAACATATTTGAGTATATAGCAACAGCTGAGCCAGTAATTGATATTATTTAGACACTCAATTACAAAGAGTTAAACATACGATTAAACCTTATTTTTTTATGGTTTTCGGAAAAATACTTTGTGTCAGAAATCGTTGCTGTTTTAAATCTCAGAGTGTCTAACACATAAATAACTCATAACAAAGATTTGGAATGAGAATACGTCCCAGAAAATCCACCATAACTTTTCATTAAAATATCAATAAATTACGTAATTTCTTTTTTAACACATCCAAATCCAGCAATCCCCCTTGGCGAAAAATATTTTATTAAAGGGCTAAGAATACTCAACAGAAAGTTTATCAATAATAATAATAAAGTTATTTAACTTATTACACTTATACAGAGAAAAGAAAGAACAAACCGTATACATCCGCTACAATTTACATGAGGCAATTTACACATTAGTTTATCATTTGGATAAAATTTCACCTCCTTTAGTGCTAGCCAATGAGGAAAGTAAACCTGCCGCAGCTTTTATCCTGGAACTTGGTCCCGACAGACTTGACGAATATACTAATGTAAGCTATCATAAGAATGTCATAGCGTCATCAACTTGTTAAAGTTGCCATTTTGCAGGATTTTTATGATAATGTAAGGATCCTTTGGAGAGACGAGGCTATAAAAAGAATCATCAATCGCTCCAATGAATTTCAACTAATAGATAGTGCATCATAGTAGGTATTTTTGAATTAGTTATTCTAGCCTTTAATTTATCTCTGTTTTAAGAGTGTGTTACGTTTATTTTTAAAAAATAGTATATAAGAAATTTTCTTAAGTGAAAGTTATACCTACATAAATAGGTAATAAGTGTCTAGGAAAATCAATTTTAGCACGTACTTTGCTTTAAGTTTTTTAGATCGTATTGACGAAATTAGTGACCCAAATTATATTCCGTCTGTACAAGATATTTTACATTGCCGTATGAAAACTGTCGGCATTTCGAAAATAGAATTCACGGTGCCATACAAGGGGAAAAAGATAAACTTTTGGATGTTTGATGTAGGCGGTCAACGCGGTGAAAGAAGAAAATGGATCCAGGTAATTCTACCATTCAAAAATACATAAAAGTACTTTGACGCAGTACCTGTGTAGTAACGAATAAAAGAAACAAAATATTTTACAATGCTAGCAACTGTATGTTTTAGGTATTTGAAGGAATTCAAGCAATTCTATTTTTGATAGCAGCGAGTGATTTTGATCAGAAATTAAGAGAGGACGAAGGAACTAACAGACTTGCCGAAGCTTTTGAAGTATTTCAGACAATGTTTTGGAGCAGGTGAATGAACTTAAATATTAATCCTAACTTTTTTTACGAAAGGGCTGTTCAAATAGCATGTAATGTACTTATTGAAGATCTGTGATGCCCCTCCCCGTTACAACGCTCCGTTACATTTTGCTTTGACCACCCCCCCACGTTACTTAACACCTCACTGGTCATTCTTACCTACAAATGTTAATTTATGTCGCTCGAAATCACTGTTATTTTATTACATTTAACATAAACATAGTATTCCTTGACCCCCCTTCCGTTGCTTGACCTCCTTCCCCTTTGTAACGCACCGTATTTACAAGACTCCCCTCCCCCATAACTTGAAGAGCTTCTAATCGATATTTTTAATTTTTGCTTAGGTTCCTTGAAGATTCTGGCAAAATAGTTTTCTTAAATAAACAAGACCTCCTAAAGACAAAAATTGATAACGGCCATAAAGTGGAAGACTACTTTCCTGAATTTAAAAATTTTGTTTTATCGGAAAAGCTAGGAAATCCGAACAGTTACTATGACAGAGCAAAGTTCTTCATGAAAAATAAATTGCATGTAAGAAAGTTTAATAAAATAATAATGTAGATATACATATTCATATACCAATTTAACAATTAAGCAAAGTATTTCGATTTTTAGTCGATAGCTTCTACAAAGCCATCTCCTGAAACGGTGGGTTTGTTACCAGGGGTTCATGTTCAAGCTGAAAGGGAAAGTCAGGCACTTTACACCCATTTTACTATTGCCACAGACACCAATAACATAAAACTTGTATTTAATGATGTCAAAGATATGATTCTTACAAAAAATTTACAAGCCGTTGGTTTAATATAAAGAACTAAATAAAAGTTAGATAATTTATTGCTTTAATAAACGAACAAAAGATGTATAAATATCAATGAATAATTAGCAAAATAAGAAACGTCCCTAAAAGTACCAAATATTTCGGGGATCAACAGTAATGTCGTAACAACAACGGCGAAATATATACTTTAAGACCAAGAGACATTCGTTTCTTTAAGCGAAGGTTTACGTTTAGGCTTAGCATAATTAATATGCTGTTCATACTAGACGGTGCTTCCGTTATGCCATAATCACATTATCGATTGTCTACTGTATTTCTAACAATTTTTTAATTTTGAAATGTAAACTTCAAAAAAGAAAACAATTGTTCACTCCAACACCCTTTATTACGTTATTTCACACTTTTACATTAAATCCAAATTCGCCTTAGTGTTAGTGTATCTAATCAAATTAACTATCAACTTTATTATGGACAAGTAATCGCATAAAAATTAATTGCAAGCATTGTACAAAAAACCTTATTTTTGTGTACCTAACTCATAGTTGTTATGCTTTTAATGGGCAAGTTTTTTATACTAGTATTATTTTAATTAAACTACGTATGATGTGCTGATGAGAACTAATATGTTCAAAATCACAACCCACGTCTGGTAGTCTCAATAAATTACTGTGACCAACATCCTTTATCAATAAATTTAAAATACTCGACTACAAAAATAATGTCTTGTAATTGTTTAATTAGAGTTATTTCACCTTTTAAATATAAAAACATAATTATTGTACTGTTACAAATAAAGAACAAATAGCTTGTTATTTCTTAATATTAACCACACTACCACGTTTTTATGAGTTTATCTAGATTTTCTATTCCACTTTGTAGAAAAACAATATTTACATCTTAACTGTAATTATAATAAAGTCTATAATTGGCAATAAAAAAAAAATCTGTCTAAATACTACGATGTGCTCTTTTTACCAACGATTGTTTTAACACAATATTGATGCACAATTTTTAGTACATGTACAACACCCCTTTACAAATGAGAAAGAGCAAATCCCCAAAATAATATTTAAAAAAAATACAAAATTAATTAGTAATTTGAACTATTATTTCTTTCTTAATTAAATAATATTAGCAACTAAAATTAATTATTCCCCATTCTTTACAGCAAGCAANACTGAATTGTACTTTATGCATCATAATGCAAAATAATCAGATATAATTAATTTTAATAGAAAGTTAAATTAATTTAATAGGTTACCCTTCACAGGTAAAATTAATATTATGTTATTTTAAAACATTTTCTATTGATTACTCTTGTTCGTTGCGTAATTAGGCTAAGGTACCTGCTTCGAAGAATTTAGTTTTTTATTTGGCGTCTAAATTTTCATCATGCAGCACTGTGCATCGAAGTACAGTCTGTGCAAGGAAAAAAAGTAAGAGTAGTCATTATCATTTTCTTAATGCATAAGAAAAAGATAATTTTCAGGTATGTTGCATAAATTTCTTCACTATAATAAGTAGTACATTTGTGTTAATTATGCATACGTTTACTAATCAGTATTTAGGTGACCAATTGAGTATTGTATACAAAAAAAAAATAAATTGGCGATAAATAAAGCATCATCTCAATAACGATGACACATAATAAAAATTGTAAAAGATAGGTACTAGAAATTCTGAGCAAACAAAATCCGTTTACCCAATAATTCATTAAGTAAATCACAAAAAGCTATTAATAAAATGCAATAAAACAATAAATTTATTCCAGCATATTCGTCGTTTCTAGTTTTACTTTATTTCCACGATTTAAAGCTTTCATTGAAAGATAAAAAACATTCCAGCATATTCGTTATTTCTAGTATTTAATTAATTTTCTTAACTGTAAAGCTCTCATCAAAATATAAAAAAAGTTTGATGTTAATTACCCATAAATATATATAAGTACTTAATTATATAGGATTGTGCATTGAATGCAGAATTTTTCTGTGATATCACAGATTATTGTTTTAAACATTCCAAATAGATCACTTTTGAGATCGATTCATTTTTTTCTTGATTACGTTTTAATAACACTTCATACAATCGAGCCATTGTCGCATCGTTTAAAATTACTTACATAAATGGTTTTTCTAAAATTAATTACGAACAAAATATACAAAACTAATATAATAGTAATAAAGCTGCTCCATTACTGATAAACTGTTTCGAAACGATCGTCATGCTCCCAACCTTTACTTTTAGATGGGATTTGTCCTTTTCTCTGCCCGCCCCATGACTTATTTGCGCCACTTTTTTGTCTATTATTCCATCCTTTATCCCCGTTTTCCCACTGACTAGAGTCTTTACCTTTTAAAAGGCGCGCACCGACCCCCAAAATAGGTCTGCCAATATTACTAGAACCAGAGCTATCCTTGTTAGCACCTGACCAGTCATTATTACTAGAATCTGCCATAAAATTCTTTGTATTATTTATTGCTAATGCCAAGTCCAAATCCACCTGACTTGATGTACTGCTACTATTTTGAGCAGATGAACAATTGTCGCTTAGAGGCGACGTAGATTCAGGTGGTGACACCTGCAGAACATTAACACTACTTTGATAACTATCTAACGTTTTGTTTGAATACGAAATTTCTACAGATAAAGGATTATGGAAGCCCTGCAAAAAAAGGCAACAAAAACATAAATCAACAAAAATATCATGCATAAAAAATACTTGTCAAGACAATATTACTAACACACATTATTCTGTTGTACCATTTTACACATTCCTAAAGAATTCTTGCCAACCAAACCATAAAATTTTTCATTTATATAAACTTGAAGGATGATTTTGGAGTCAGCAACTGTGAAAAATCTTTCATTTTAAAAGTCACAATTTAATTGAAAACATTTTTCTCAGAATTTTTATGTAAAAAGAGAATGAAATTTATTTTTTAATTTGTGTTAAATCAAATCATATAAAAACAGAATTATGTGTACATTACTTAAAAGCAGTGAAAAAATTAAAGTACTCTTTCTACTAAATGCATACTAATCATACCTTTCAACAAATAAAGAATAGATTTCATAAGTACAAAATATTTAATTAGAAATAGGAATACTTTTAAAAAGGTTCATTTCAGTCAAAATGTTCAAATAGTATTACCTGAAATCCAGCCATAGCCTTATCCCCTAACTGATCCTGGTAAAATTTTTGCAAATCTGATGTAAGCAAGCTAAATCGATGACTTTCCACATCCAAAGCCAATAAAAGCCATAATTTTGATATTTTAGTCAACTGAGTGTCTGTAGTCAGCAGTACCCGTATTTTAACCATTATTTCACTCAATTTCTGAGGAAATTCTGCTTTGATACTACTCCCATTTAAAAATAACTAAAAAAAGCATATTTGTTGATGTTGCCTTACAAAATCTTTTACTATGACTTCGGTTTGTATTACCTGAACTGTAAAAAGTTCCAAATCCTCAGGTTGTGCTGATTCAACTAGCATATCAAAATATCTAAGCAAAGGAGCAGCTAAGAACTTAATTTGACTACCATCTACAAGTCTGGCCTTATTGAAGAATTCTCCTAACATTCGTATGGCATTGCGAAAACAATCAGAATCTGTTGTTTGTAACTGTTTGCTATCTAAAAGAAGGTTTTTTAAAACACATAACAAAATACATATAGATATATAGTTACTTTCAAAATCTTGCTGAATATGTCTAATAAATATGTTTCGCAACTTTACTGAATGAACCTCTGTCGTTATGAATGAATAAGAAGAAACCATCAGCACTAATTTTGTAGCTAATTTAGAATCTTGTAGGCATTTTTGATATAATAATTTGAACTTGTCTCTGAAATTTCAAATAACTTTTAAACTGAATTACAACTTTTTAAAATAAGTTGATACTTACTCTACCTCATTGGCAGTTTTGCATTCTTGTTCAAAACATTCCAATATGTATTTTAATTTTTGATTTAAAAGGATACCATCATCTTTTACATCTAATGCCTCCAATGTTGAGAGCACTTTATCCTTTCCCAGGGAAGCTTTTTCTGCATTCTGATTTTCATTAGAACTTGGTATGGGACCAGGTCGAATTGGATTTGACCTTTTATTTAAATTTAACCACCCTCGACCTCTTCCAACACCACTAGCAGCCATTTAGAAACTAAACAATAATGATTTCTATCATCACTTATTATTTAAATATAATAGATAAACATTCCATATTATTAAAATACATATAAAAATTTCTAAGTAGAGTACACAACTTACTTTTGTTTTTAAATATAGATTTTTTTTCTTATTAATAAGATGTTTTGACTACAGTAACCTAACCTCTGTAACCAACAAAAACAATATGACAGGTGCAATGTTGTTCCCCACTCTTCCAAATCCCCACCACTTATTTAATACAACGTTGCTACATATACTGAATTGTACTTTATGCATCATAATGCAAAATAATCAGATATAATTAATTTTAATAGAAAGTTAAATTAATTTAATAGGTTACCCTTCACAGGTAAAATTAATATTATGTTATTTTAAAACATTTTCTATTGATTACTCTTGTTCGTTGCGTAATTAGGCTAAGGTACCTGCTTCGAAGAATTTAGTTTTTTATTTGGCGTCTAAATTTTCATCATGCAGCACTGTGCATCGAAGTACAGTCTGTGCAAGGAAAAAAAGTAAGAGTAGTCATTATCATTTTCTTAATGCATAAGAAAAAGATAATTTTCAGGTATGTTGCATAAATTTCTTCACTATAATAAGTAGTACATTTGTGTTAATTATGCATACGTTTACTAATCAGTATTTAGGTGACCAATTGTGTGCAACAGCTATACAATGGCGTTGATCACAAAAATACCGGATTGTTTATATTTTACGAAAACTATAAATTTTATGTACTATTTTAAAATGCCAAATCAAATTTTAATTGTTATTTGAATTACACATTTATCTCAAATCTCAAAATGACCTGCAATTACGTAGATCTAATTCTGAAAATCGAACCGTATTTGGTATCACTTTTTTTTATTTCAACGTTTACTTCTCCTTGTATAAAAACGTATATCAATAAAAGGCAGTCAATCTATTTAATTTACATTAAGTTGGAGGAGATAGAATGCTTAATTAAATACGTATGTTTTGTTTTGTTATTGGTGTTAATTTCGGTTTTACATTATCAATAGTGTAAATAAAATAAGTACTTTTAAAACTAGCATTCTAATGCAAGATAAGTTTTCTGCAAGTAGTCGTAGGATAATAAAATTAGTAAGTCCTTATTTCATTTTACAATTTTGTTAATGATCATATGAATTAAATTATAGGTAGCAGTAAACGTGAATATTTGGCATTACTAATATGTTTATAATTTCATAAAATCCTATTAATTTCCACTTTAGTTCAAGTGAAAGTTTTCACTTGTTGATGTTGAAGTTTTGGTACTCAAAACTCTTCTTGTTTTTGGAATAACTAGATATTAATAATAACATTGGTTCAAATTTGCATATGAATTGCATCCTTTATTGTTAAATATTAATATTAATGATTTTCAAGAAATATGAAAAGTAATTTTGTAGAGAAATTTATAAAAACAAAATACAATTTCTATTAATGACTAATTATTAATAATTTATTAGAGAAGAAAATGGCTTCACACATCTTATCAGTTTGTATGTTCTGCTTGCTATGTGCTACACATTCTCCATGTGAATCTCATGCTAGCTTGGATCAAGAATTATTGCCAAACAATTCAAGAATATTTTCCAAGAATCTACTAAGGACCGCCAATTCAACAAGTCCTGATTTATTTGAAACAAAATCTCGGATAGATGATCATATTCCAAATGCTTCCACTTCACCCAGGATAAATACAAAAACAAAATACAACAAAAGTCTAAGAAAAAAGCATACACGATCTACTTCTAACACTAATGCATTTGAAATTCCATCAAATGAAAATTCAAGTAACTTTAATAAAATAGAAAATGATAATACCAACAAATTAGATAAGCAGTATTTAAAAAAAATATTTGAAAAGTATGGTAATGGAGAGACCATGACTTTGGAAGGCTTTGAAAAATTAATGAAGCACCTGTCCCCTAAATTTCCTGGTTTGTCTGATAATTCCCATGTTGAAGACTTAGAAAAGACTGATGTAACTCCCAAAAATTCTACACAAACACAGGTAATTTAATAATAGGAAAACATTAACTAATTCATTGAAATAAATTTATAAATATTTAAAGACTATAATAAAAGAAAAATATAGGGACCCTTAAGGTATTTAAATTTACATTTAATTTGCAAGAAGTACTTACTGCCACTTAAAAAGAATATTTATAATTATATGGTCCATTATAGTATATTTTTTTAGTGTTTGGACCAAAAACAGCTCTATTCATCTATTTTGTCTACTGATTCCAATAAAACAACAATTACTGATGACAATTTAATGAATGTTTGTCCTGTGATATTATACACAATGGTTTTTGGCACATGTACTTCACAGCACGACGGTCATACAGTCGCTGATGATTCGTTAATCAAAAAAAGCTACTTTTCTGTATGGCTTTATTCAAATGTTGCAGTGATTGTAGTAAGCGTTTGTGGTGTAATTGGATTGGCTGTTATACCTATCATGCAGAAAAAATATTACCAATCACTTCTACAATTTCTAGTAGCGTTAGCGGTCGGGACCCTTGCTGGAGATGCGCTTTTACACCTCCTTCCCCATGCAATGTCAGCTACTAGTGATCACCATGATCCTGACCACGATCATCATGATCATACCATAAACATGTGGAAAGGATTGGTAGCCATGATGGGACTAATACTTTTCTTCGTGACCGAAAAAGTTATCATTTTTGGGGCAAAATGGCGTAAAAAGAGCCAGTTAAAAAAGAAAATACCAAAAATGAAAGTTATGAGATCTAACGATCTTGGACCGCCAACTAGTGGAAATGAGCGGCAATGCAAGCACAAATACAGTTCAATTCCTTATTGTTATGACACCATCACCATGATGGATGCGTCCCAGTGTCACGACAGTGTTGAATCGCACAATGACACCGCTACCACAACGTTTAACGACGTCGATAGCGAGTGTGAAATACAGTCCTTTAAAAAATCTAATTCAAACAATAGCAACAAGATTGAATTTAATCAAAATATGACTGAGTGTCCAGGAAAAATGAACGGATATTCGTGTACAGACGGGAATAAGATGCTCGAAAGTCAAAACAGTAAAGATAGTAATAGCGTGGAAGAATACACGGTGATTTTAAGAGAACATGAGAACAAACATCACGGACATTCCCACACCCATGGACATGTCCATGCGGCTCCGCAAAATCTATCTTCAGTCGCATGGATGGTTATCATGGGAGATGGATTGCACAATTTTACTGATGGAATGGCCATTGGAGCTGCATTCACAGGTGGAATTGCTGGTAATGTTATTTTTTATATCAGTAAAATATGTATTGTTTTATTTGAATGAATAAGTTTACTTTGATGTGGGCCTTATTTTTATCGTTGATATGATTCATGGCCGAAACCTTTAGAATATTTGAAAGACTAAGGTTTTTTTAATTTTGTAAAGTTACCCTGAGCAATGTTAAAAATTGTATTTTTTTTAAGGTGGTTTTTCTACGGCTGTGGCCGTTTTTTGTCACGAACTTCCTCATGAGCTTGGAGATTTTGCAATGCTACTAAAGGCTGGTATGAGTATGAAACAGGCACTTTTTTATAATTTGTTATCGAGCTTTCTGTGCCTGATGGGGAACGCGTTTGGGGTGTGGTTGGGCGAAATGGAATCGGCAAGCACATGGGTGTTCGCAGCGGCCGCTGGCACGTTCATTTACATCGCCCTCGTCGATATGATACCTGAGCTTTCCTCTGGACATGACGAAGATTCGTCTTTATTGCAATGTTTCCTGCATTTATCAGGCTTACTGCTTGGGTGCGGAATTATGATGCTGATTGCATTATATGAGCACGACCTTAAAAATATCTTCTGATGGTGTTGAAACAAATATACTGTTTAACAACATAATAATTCAAAGGTACTTAAGATCTTTTATTTAGCAAACCAGAGTTTTTGTGACTAACAAAAAAAATTCTATTCTGATCTGAAGGATTATTCCTCCTTATAGTTATCTTTTTAAATGTTTTTCTATTGAAAACCATTTCCTGAATGTTTGCCTCGAAAGTAGAACTCAACTTTGTGTGAATTCGTCCTTCTAAAACAGTAAGATAACGTCCCCACGCACTTTATTTTCATATACATAGAACATCACCAACACCGCTGTCGCATATAGACCGAGAAATACCAGTAAATACGAACTTAGCTCACGAAGCAAACATTCGTCAGTTGAAGGTACCATAAATTGTAAAATACTGAAGTTCAAATCCCACACAAAGAATGCTTGATCAATTAATGTTATGCCCTATTCATTGCAATCTTAATTTTTTTAAAGCACTAACAACAATTTTTGTTTTTCAGATGCAGGTGCTAACTACAGGGGCTAGAGTGTAAACTACTTTTAGGTATACTTATGATGTGTAAGGCGTGCCAAAAGTAAACAGTATGAATTTAATGATCATGAAAATTGACTAAATTGGATTTTACAGAATGATACTTCAACATGTAAATTTTAAAAATTAGCATTTCTTTTTTGATAACCGACTTTAAATAATACGAAAATACGACTGGTATGCAGAAAGTGTTCTTCGTAATTTACGTCGTATTTTTTGTCGTGTTTATGGTGTAGAAATTTATATAGTAGTAGATTTTTTATGTAATTGCTACATATCTTAACTGGCAGAAATTCGAGTTAACATTTTGTAACAGGACAAGGAAAAAAATATAACCAGAATACGTTATTTAATTTTTTAATAGTTAATAGTTTTTAACGCTTTTTTTATTCACGTCGTAATAATTTTATTGCTATTAGAATGTCGACTGGTTTTTATTTTTTTTTTTCTTGGATTATTGTTAAGTTTATAACATTTTTTTCTTTCTGTTAAGAGTTTTTGTGAATAAATAATATTGAAGAATATTATGGTAATACTCTTTCACATTAAAAACAAAAATTAGGTCCTCTGTTAGTTAATAAACAAATATGTCTTTAACTGTTTTTTATATGGAAATTAAGTTGTTTCAGTTAGTCAAAAACTTTAAGAAATAAATTTATTTTATAAATAAATACAAAAAACAGCTAAGACTATTCAATAAGTTTCTTTGCTTTGAAGTACCTCCTCAGATAAAGTACTTGCCATGTTGCAAGCCCCAAAAGACAAAACATTGAAAAAATGGAGAAGTATAAAACTCTGCTGTTGGTGGATTCTAAAAGAAATATTTATTTTATAATTTTAGGATACCTTTAATAATAAATTACCATTGGTATCTCGCATTTCCTCTTCTCTTTTCCTCATATATGAAAAATCTTGTACAATAGCATCTGATAAATCTTCTAATCTTTTTAACTCTACTTCAATTGGTTTTAATTTTGCTGCTTCTCCTATCTACAACTTCAAAGTGAAAAAAAAGGACAAAATACTAAGTAATCACTTTACCCCTTCGTAGCTTTTCGCTTCAACCCCATGTTTGATATTTAATGTAACTTCTTGAGAAATACCCCGTTGATCTGAAAAGGATTTTGAAAAGCAGATGGTATTAGAAAAAGTTATTTCATTTTAACTTACGGGAAGGGATTCGTGAGATAAAACAAATCTCAAAACTATCATAATTTTCAGTTACAAACGAAAACTTCCCCTTGGCAATATCTGTCCTTTGCGCTAGTACGTGGCCCCTAGAGTCTTTAACCTAAAAGTGAAAGATTTTACAAAAACCATATTTTGATCATTTTTGTGCAACTTACCACATAGTCAACCTTCTGACCAGGTGCTTCAGAAACCTCAAACTCGCCAAGGACCAAAACATTTTGATGAAGTTCCTCTTTTAAACATTTTTGCGAATTTGGCTCTTGTGTCCACATGATACAGTTAACGAATGATAATAAATTTAAAAGTCCTACAGTTAATAACTTTAATTCCATGTTAAAATGTAGTAAACTACTTAATATAACCACAAATACATTAACTCATTCGAAAATGTTCAATAATTACTTGAGAAACTTGTAGATAAAGACATTTGTTATTGCGATGAGTTGGCTTTCATAAACCGACGAATGACGTTTAACCTCCATAGATATCATAGACAAGATAGATAAGTATTGACCACGATTGACGTTTCAGCAACTCTCCAATATATGTTGATATGTTCAAAACTTACCATAGATAACTACAAGTTTGATTTAAAAATGGTTATAGTTCAGTAGTTCAAGAAAGTAATGTTATTGTTAATAACGGAAATTCAAAATTGTTTTACGTAGAAAGTAAATATTATCCAATAAACCTAATATTGTCAAATAAAAATTTTATAATTCATTAAATTTTAGGCAAAAAAGTATGAAGTGTTTTATCTGTGGTTAATAGAAGAGGTTATATTGTTTTCTTGTATAAGGTTTTCAAGATATTTTAAATTAAACAACAATTTTACTCTAACGAAAACATTGTGAGACATGTCTAGTACAGCGTTAGCTTCCCTTACTGCAACCTACACTGATTCTGAGGGAGAAGAAGGAAATGAAGAAAATGAAGAAGCTCAAGGCACAGTAACTATAAATACTCCTACAGGTACTCCAGACAATAAATCTTCATCAACATCAAGACCTTCATCACCTATACCTGCAAAAGTGACTTCCAAAGTAAAAAAGTTAGTTTCTTATCATGATGATACTATTGTATCTGATGAAGAAGGGGAAAATAATGAAAATAATATTAATATAGATGAAGACTCAAATGATTCCAATGTTGTAGTTGAACAGAAGGAGGTTGTTCTTGAAGAAGGTATAGAATTACCTCCTGAACCTCTTGGACATTGTTCTACTGAATTACAAGAAAAAATTTTAAGATTGCATGAAAAAATGCAAAACAATGCACTTGATATGAATGCAGTCATACAGCAAAGAAAAGATTTTCGAAATCCAAGTATATATGAAAAGTTAATTCAGTTTTGTAGTATTAACGAACTTGGTAAGATAATTATGTAGGTAAAACTAGTAAAAATTTAATTTAAAATATTACTAAACAATTTATTATAAAATAAGGCACTAATAAGTGTAGCATCCTTTTAATGATTTAAGAAATTCTTTAATAACATTTTTATTTAAAGATTTTATTTTCTTAATTACAAAGAGCAAATATTCAGGGCTGAAGTATTTCTTACGTTTATTTTTTCAGTTTTGTTTTTATTTAACTTTGTGCACAAAGTGTGAATACATAGAAATATACATGTGAGATTTTATGCTCACATTTACATAAATACTAAGTCAGTATTTTTTTTTACAGGAACCAATTATCCTGCAGACATATATGATCCTTTAAAATGGGGAAAGGAGTCTTTCTATGAAGATTTGGCAAAGGTACAAAAAACTGAAATGGAAAAGAGAGAAAAGGAGCGAAAATCAAAAGTAGAAGTAATGTCAGGTACGAAGAAAATTGAAGAAGATTCAAAGAAGCGGAAAAGTAAGTGGGACCAGCCTGGAGGTAATACTTTAAATTCACAATCTATCAAACCTGCTGGTTTGGTACAGCCTTCTCTCACAAACAGTGCCACGGGGACTAAATCAACAGTGATTTCTGCTTTTGGTTCATTACCAAAGAAACCTAGACCCTAAGCAACCTTTTTATTCAACTAAAATAGTGAGTTTTTATTTGATTCTTATTTGGTTGTTTGTTTCTGTTGTCTTAATGCATATTATTCCCCATTTGAACATATTTACGTAATTATTTATTAAATAACAGGTCAGTTACTTTCATTTTTATTTGTTTTACTCAGCTAAAGTATGCAAGATAGATAAAAGTCCTGAACTGTAGGAAAATAATTTTTAATTAATTTTCCTTCTAAGAGCAACATACATATATAGAACTCTGTTATTTATTTTAGATTTTTATTACAACACGTCGAAAAATTCAATAAACAAAATGTTAAATTTTGTAAGATTATTATTTATCGGTATTTACCGAGAATAGAAAAAGTATTTATATTTTAAAAATTTACTTGTAGCCAGTTTGTAAAAAATTGTCATATTTAAGAACTTTTATTAATTAAGTTTTAACCGCGACTTCTAATGAAAAACATACTAACAAACATTTTAAAAAAGTAGCATTGTGATCCCCCTAACAATCTTCTCTTCATTCTCACATTATATATATTTTGTGAATTTTTTCTTTCAGCTTCACTTCTTTCCATTTCTCTGTATTTATTGCTATTAGTTTTCAGTTATTAATCTTCATCTTTATTGGGTCTTCTTCCGCCTTACCTAATTATCTTTTGGGTTTTGTTCTTTTTTTTAGTAAGTCCCATTACGTTATCGCCTTCACGATTGCCTCATGTCCAATTCTATCTAATCTATTCCATCTAACCCTTTGCTCTTTAATGATCGGAACAATGCCTTCATTATTCAGAGCTTGCAATATTTCCTTGCTTGTTCTTCTAAGTCTTCATTTCTTTTACAAACTTTAGAGTTCCTCTTATTATTTTCGTTTCTTCCACCAGTCATGTATGTTAATATATTTTCGTTAACATTATTGTTTTTAAAGTGTAAGTTGTATCGAAACGTATTAACGTTTTGGATATTTTTGGTTTAGTTTAGAGGAATCTGTTTATTTTTTAATAATCTTTTGTTAGCGTAGAAAAATGTGTTCGCTGTTAGTATTTTTTCTTTCATTTCACAGTCCCTTTACCATATATTCATATTCACTTTGGGGTATTTCATGTATGTATTTAGTAGGTAAAGAATTAAAAGAAACGAGTAAGTTTAAAAAGCAAAGGAAAGAAGTAATTTATAGAATATTTTTTATTAAACAATGAATGAGTAACACTAAATCAATTATTGTAATTGTCATAATGAAAGACCTTACAACTACTTTAATTTGTTAATATTTTAACGGTACTGAAACAATAATTCAGGTAAACTAACAGCAATACAAACAAATAAACATAATTCTGTTGTAATACACTATTTAAATTAATTTTTATTACAAATACTACTTAAGATTATTCACTTTCGTAATTGTAAATTATTTATTTCTTTTAAAATCTATATATAAATTGCAACTAAAAAGATTCATACACTTGAATCATATAAAACAAATCAATAAATATAACACACTAATATATCAAAAAGAAAAAGTTCTCTTTACAATTTCAAAAAGAATATAAATAAATTATTTTTTGTTATACATTGGTAAAAACTAAACTAAATGCTGTAGTAAATTTACAGAATATTTTTTACTAGGTATTAAACTGGTACATATATAATATGACACTAAACATTTTACTCAGAGATCTTTTCCACAATAATAATTTTAAGTAAGAGGTTGTACTTCTGCATTGCCTTCTTTTCTCTTTTTTTTTATTGAAATATCGGCCACGACAAAGAAGGACTCTATGAATTAAAGCTTCAGAAGAAAAAATTTGTCGCACTTAGAAAGATTTTACTTTGAAGCTAGAAACATTATCAACCTGTAAAACAGAAACAAATCAATAACAGTTACTTATAAAAGGTAAATATTTAATGAAAAGAATTTTGAGAAAATTGACACAATCCTATTTACAATAGTGTAAGTAGAGTTGCATATGTGACATTCTTTTTTTCTACCCACCTTATAAAAATATGAAAAAAAAAAGCACCTTGAATTACGCTGCCAGAGAGGAAAAAAGTTTCTACTTCTGCCTCTCCGTAAAGTAAACGACCTAATACTGTGCAGTCCGTCCCGGTGGACGAAGTCGGGGAATTTATTTAGTACAGAATAAAAATATTTAAACGCTTACCTAAAGTTGATAGTTTTAGCTGCTAGTAGACGATTACATTCTGCTGTGTCAGGCAAAGCAAGGGGCATGTAAGGTCCCTCATTTTCTTGATCGTTAAATTCAAACTCATAGATTGTGGGTTTGATTTTCATGTCTCCAAAGGGTCCCTTCAGTATTATGTAATGGACATGCAGCGGAACGGTAGTTTTCGTTTTCAATATCAACTGAAAAAATTACCACAGATTTATTTTAATTTGAAAATTCTAAAAATTTTAATGATTTAACACAAGCATTAGAATAATAAGATAAAATAATTTATCTCTTCTAACACTAGATGGATATTAAAATATTAAAAGATTAAGGATTATAGCAGAAAATTACAGCAGTAGACAATGCAGAGCATGTGTACATTTAAAATTATCACCATATCTTTAAGAACATAATTAAACACAGGATTTTAATAGATCTCATAAAAACCACAATAATTTAAATTCTAATCTTCATACACGTACCTGGTAAGTCATCTCACGTTCTGAGCTTTGTGTGGGATCTTTTTGCATGTTATTAATTCGAGCTTTTACAACCCACTGGTTATTAAACGCAGAAAAACGAGATGTTTCATAAAACAGACGGTGTACAAACTCATCTGTCCTGTATGGCTTCAATTGCAGATCTAATGAAAAATTAGATGAAATATTCATTTTAAAAAGTAACAATTTATGTAACTATAATTTTATAATAATATTAAAGTAATAAGAATTACCGTTAAACGTAATTTTCTCGTATCCCAATAAATCAAAAATACAGTCGTAAACTTTACGTTCGTTGGCGTTATGTTCATCAATAACTTGCAAAGCTTCCATGACATCGGCCCCCGATTTGTGGGGATGGGCACAATGACCTTCATGTTCGCTTATTTCATGAACAGGACCCCTCCATGGACAACCAATACGACTGAATTTACACCCAGATATCCTATATGTTCATTAATAAAAATACGAATAACATTTGCCATACAAATTTAAATATTTAGTTTTCAGTTATTAATCTTCATCTTTGTACTCAAAACTCTTCTTGTTTTTGGAATAACTAGATATTAATAATAACATTGGTTCAAATTTGCATATGAATTGCATCCTTTATTGTTAAATATTAATATTAATGATTTTCAAGAAATATGAAAAGTAATTTTGTAGAGNGAATTATTTGATTTATGTAGAAAAAATAGAAAATGACATTTTAAGAATATCTAAATTATGTATCAATACGTATCAGTCATATTTAATTTTCCTTAGTAATTGTTTATTATTGTCTTTTTCTATCTCACGTAATTTACCTAAACTATTTGCCAATTGAAGTAGTAGCACGTTCTTTTAAGGTATATTGTTATTAACTGTTACAGATAAAAGATTTACAAGGACTTTATATTTTTCAACTTCCTGCATTTCTTAGTTTTTAGCTGCTCCAGTAAGATTTCCTGAATTTTTTGTTTTCTGTTTTGTATTATTGACTTATTCAAATCCTCGAAATGTGTATAATAATATTTTGTCTGTACTTTTAGAAAATTGGAACTTAGTCAAAAAAAAAATAGGAGAAAAATATTTAAATAAATCTTTTTAAATGATAAACAATCAAAATTGAGGAAATATCACTGAACAAGCAAGGTGTTTTCGTTAGTATTACTTATAGATTTTTAATAGCTATTAAACAATTGTATACCTTTCTTCGCATAGCGTTTCTTCGTGTTTTTCTAAAGTGTTTCGGGGAAACTCATGTCCACAATACTGGCATTCCGATGGCAATTCTAATACGGCATTTTCAACAGCCAAATTTCGGGTGGCTGACGTTTTGCTGATTTCCACACGACAATTGGGGCACGTGGCGGTCTCATCTCGCAGCCTAGCGTCCGCAAGGACATGTGTAAAACAGCCGGCACACATAAGGTGCCCATTGCTGCACTGTAACACAGGCACACAACACACATTTACAATTAGACTATTTTACCATCATCAATAAATAAAGATAATTTGCTGAGGACATGCTGCCAAATACCACCATAAGAACAGTTTTTTTTTACTGAAAATCGCTTAATATAGATACAAAAACTTGCAAACAAGAATAAAAACGACCTCATAAACCTCAGGATCTTAAATTCTGCTAAAGAATACTATANAGTTTTTTAAATTAACATGAAGTAAATTTAACAATAAAAGAAAATGTTGTATGAGTTTGGACTCTGTTTTTCGCATTTTTATAAATAATTATTGTAGTCATTATTTGATATGAAAATCAGCATGAGTATCTCTACTTTCAGGACATGGCAAAACACACAGAGATGCTGCAAGTGTTCAAGCTACCCACCCTTTATAGACCAATAAGTAACTTCATTATAAGGAATAAATTTTCTTTATTTTACATTTTATCAAAATAAATTAAAAAATATAAAATACAATATTGGATACCATACGGCAAGGAAAAAGTGCTAATGAATGCACTGTCACATTCAAGGAGACTAAGAAGTGCAAGTTCAAACTTCAATGCTGATTAGTTTCTTATTGCTGTTATGAAGTTGTTGAGGTGTTATCATTTAATAAAACAGAGCATTGCTAAAACTTGCACATCTTTGAAAATGTCACATTCCAATTATAACTACATAATTTACTCACCAGTCTTCTTTAAAACCCTGTAACTAATATAAAATTCTCTGGTAAATTGCATGACATTGTTTTTGTTAAAACATAGGTACTACTAATGAATCGATTTGCTTGCCACTATTAAAGTGTATGAAACATTTACCTTGTTATACATTGGTAAAAACTAAACTAAATGCTGTAGTAAATTTACAGAATATTTTTTACTAGGTATTAAACTGGTACATATATAATATGACACTAAACATTTTACTCAGAGATCTTTTCCACAATAATAATTTTAAGTAAGAGGTTGTACTTCTGCATTGCCTTCTTTTCTCTTTTTTTTTATTGAAATATCGGCCACGACAAAGAAGGACTCTATGAATTAAAGCTTCAGAAGAAAAAATTTGTCGCACTTAGAAAGATTTTACTTTGAAGCTAGAAACATTATCAACCTGTAAAACAGAAACAAATCAATAACAGTTACTTATAAAAGGTAAATATTTAATGAAAAGAATTTTGAGAAAATTGACACAATCCTATTTACAATAGTGTAAGTAGAGTTGCATATGTGACATTCTTTTTTTCTACCCACCTTATAAAAATATGAAAAAAAAAAGCACCTTGAATTACGCTGCCAGAGAGGAAAAAAGTTTCTACTTCTGCCTCTCCGTAAAGTAAACGACCTAATACTGTGCAGTCCGTCCCGGTGGACGAAGTCGGGGAATTTATTTAGTACAGAATAAAAATATTTAAACGCTTACCTAAAGTTGATAGTTTTAGCTGCTAGTAGACGATTACATTCTGCTGTGTCAGGCAAAGCAAGGGGCATGTAAGGTCCCTCATTTTCTTGATCGTTAAATTCAAACTCATAGATTGTGGGTTTGATTTTCATGTCTCCAAAGGGTCCCTTCAGTATTATGTAATGGACATGCAGCGGAACGGTAGTTTTCGTTTTCAATATCAACTGAAAAAATTACCACAGATTTATTTTAATTTGAAAATTCTAAAAATTTTAATGATTTAACACAAGCATTAGAATAATAAGATAAAATAATTTATCTCTTCTAACACTAGATGGATATTAAAATATTAAAAGATTAAGGATTATAGCAGAAAATTACAGCAGTAGACAATGCAGAGCATGTGTACATTTAAAATTATCACCATATCTTTAAGAACATAATTAAACACAGGATTTTAATAGATCTCATAAAAACCACAATAATTTAAATTCTAATCTTCATACACGTACCTGGTAAGTCATCTCACGTTCTGAGCTTTGTGTGGGATCTTTTTGCATGTTATTAATTCGAGCTTTTACAACCCACTGGTTATTAAACGCAGAAAAACGAGATGTTTCATAAAACAGACGGTGTACAAACTCATCTGTCCTGTATGGCTTCAATTGCAGATCTAATGAAAAATTAGATGAAATATTCATTTTAAAAAGTAACAATTTATGTAACTATAATTTTATAATAATATTAAAGTAATAAGAATTACCGTTAAACGTAATTTTCTCGTAT